AAGTGTTGTATGAGGAAAATTGAGCTCTCTTAATTTGTGTATCCTATCCTTTCTTTGGAGGCTATTACCCAAGCCTAACATTACAAGCTTACAAAGACCTTTTGACCCTTAGCAATGTCGAGCCTACATTAGTGGAAAGTAATTCGAAAGATTTTGCTTGTTTGCATCATATAATCTAAGAAGTGATCTACCATATAGAGAGGGGAGCAAAGTTCCATATAAATTCTTGAACCAAAATCTGGCTTCCATTGGTGTTTCAGTGCTGCTAGTGCATGAGGACAAGGTAAACGTTGAGTGTCAAGCATTTTACAGCTGCAAGTTTTACTAACAAGGTTAACTAGGGCATTTGGACCATAGCCGCACACAGTGAACTCTTGAGCATTAAGAGGATATGCAAACAATGCATTTGACAGTTCCATACGTTCTTGTAATAATTTTCAACTAACGGAACAAGGGTTATAGTAAAATTATCTGACTCCGTACGATGCTCATGGAACCACCGTGACAATGTCCTCTAGATTGCATCAAAAAGTGCAACTATTGGAAACTCTCTTTCTATTAACAACTTCAAATTTATGGACTACGCTATATTCGTGGTCATGACATCAAACCTTCTTCTAGGAAAGTAAGCTCTACTTCATTGCTCGAAACCAACATCATGCTCAAGATACTTAGCAACTCTATCATCCTTGATTCGGATTTGCTGGAAGTGCTCCTCGAATTCATCAACCCGATAAACTTTTGCTGCCATGTACTATGTCTGAAGGAGGCCAGCACACTTAAATTTTTGTTTTATGTTCTCACCAAGGTGCCTCATACAGAATCCGTGATGTGCTTGATGGTAAATAATGGTAATCCCCTTCTTTATAGAGTTGTGCCTATCAGATATTATGCACAACTCGTCATTGTCAAGCACTATCGTACGTAATTGTTGAAAAAACCAAGTCCACGACTCATCATTCTTAGAGTCAACAACACACCATGCAACAGGATATGTGTGATTCTCGATGTCCTGTGCAGTGACCACGAACAATGTACCTCTATACTTTCTCGTCAGAAAGCAACCATCAACATCCAACACTTTTCTCATGTTTACAAAACCCCTTATAGTAGAACCGTAAGCAACAAAAAAAAAAAAATTTAAACATCATATTCCTGTCCCACTTCAAAGTCGTCCTGCTACCTTGGTTTGTCAACTCAAGCATATAACGGTACACTTCTAATACTGCGTACCTATGCTCCGACGTGCCCCTCACAAATCTTGTGCATGTTGTCTCCTTTTCCAGCATTTCTAGTAACTAACAGCACATCCTAACTCTGTGCGCACAAGTCTCTGAATGTCTTTAGGAGATGGACTTTTCCCTTCAACGAACCGACTTTTAACAAATTGTCCAATAACATCAGCGGACGCTTGTCGATGCTCACCTGAAATATGTCCCAAACCACATGTGTGCTCACGGGTATATGTGCTAAGAATAAATTTTTTCGACTCCGCCAACCTTTTACAATAAACCCGCCACTTGCACTTTCGGTCACGACATGCAACTGTCACAGCTAATGAATTTGACTTTTTGGTGATCAACTCAAAATTACCTCTCACGACAACAAATTTTAGCTTCCTCACTACTTCCTCTTTGTTGTCAAATAAATACCTTATGCGCAACTCCGATTCATCCGTAAAAACATGAGCCGATTCATTACTACCTCCAATTGGCCCCTTTGAACCTGCATAAACGACCATAGTGTTCTCTTCCTCACAATCTACGTCTTCTGCCTAATCTGTATTTAAAGGAATCTCTACATTTGTGGGAACGTCTACGAGGTCCTTCTCCTCAACATTTTCGTTTTGCCCCCCATCACCAACCTCTTCTACAGTATCCTTCTCACCACCCAATTCACCATCTACTCTTGATTTTTTAACTAACAAATCAATGGCCTCTTAGTTCAAATTAAAACCAGGCAAATCTCCACCTACTTCCTCGTTATCCCCTTCCTTTGAACCAACTTCCAATGGTTTTTCTACAAAAGAAACCCTTAAAATCGGTCTCGAACCATTATCAGCCACATCAATCATATATAACTTCACACTTTCATCTGACTTTAATATAGCAGGAGATACCTTATAATGTTTATGAACTCTGCTTAAAACATACTTCACAACTATATCACTACACGAGCAACTCAAATCACCTCTTCTAATTATTTCATCAATCAACTCATCAAAGCTAACCTCTGTGCTCACAGCAATTGGTATAACTTCTTTGCTCTTCCCAATCCACTTCCAGCTACTTTCTTCCTCCACCCACTCACCAAAATATTCAACACCCAAAACAACTTGTCTCATGTGTAATAATAGCCAACTACCTGTAATGCAAGAAAAAAAATATTCTTAAATGTTGTACTAAGGGTTCAAATATTTTAAAAAGAATCTACACAGTCACTTATATGGTCTGGTGTATTGCTTAAGCGATCAACTTGATCGCTTAAGCGATCCAATATAAATAACCATGATCGCTTAAGCGATCTTATGCCATTTACCGATCACTTAAGCGATCTGCTCCTATACACCAGACTTTTAGCAGATCGCTTAGCTATCTTATGCCACATACCTGATCGCTTAAGCGATCTATCTACTGCATTACCAAACGTACCAAATCGCTTAAGTGATCCATCATACCCAGAATACATTTTCAGTCATCTCCACCTACAATCGATCCATCATACCCAAAACATATACCCAGAACAAATTTTTAACATATTTCACTCCTTTCAACTTCCATTGCATCAAACATAGCTTTTTTTTTTTAATAAGGTAAGTATGTATAAAAGACCAAAAATGTACAAATACGAGGGGCATACCCCAAGAGGATGACTGATAACTCTCAGTCAAAAAACCGTGGGAAAACCTACAAAGTCACGAACAGCATAAAAGAGCACGCAGGCTCACCACAAACACAAAGCCACAAACCGGCACAAAAGAGCACGCAGGCTCCTTACAAAGCTAATCAGGAAGATGCCATATCACACAGAGCTGAGTCGATATCTCGTACTTAAGTGCTAGACCCAAAATCTTTGCCCGAACTAGATCACAAATAGCTAAGACAATATCTCTGCGAGAGCTACAATGCTGACGAAACATGCGATTATTCCATTCAAACCATAGGAAATAAACTGTGGTTGAAAGGACCAACCGGGAAAGAAGGTGCCTGAAGTTACCTTTTTGTCGAAGATGCAAGCTAGCCCATTGGAGCAGAGGGAGCCAGGAGAGAGTAGGCCATGTAGAGAGCGTCCTGGTAGTGACCTCCAGCCAAACATGACTAGAAAAGTCACAGCTGAAAAATAAATGGTCATGGGTCTCTGTTTAGGGTTTAGGGTTTTCAACTTCCATTACATCAAACATAGCCCAACAACCTAAACAACTAAATCATAACCCTAACCCAAACCCAATCCATGCTAAATCAAAATCATAACCCAGATCTTTTGTAAATCGAAAGGGAGATACGCATACCTGGACGAAATGTCAGGAGGAGGAGGAGGAGGAGAAGGATCTGTGTTGGAGAATATGTTAATGGCGGAGGAATGCGTTAACATGGCGGGAGGAAGAAGAAGAATGTGTTTGGGTTTATTTGCAAGAATTTCGACTCTTTGGGGATATATTATAATTTTTAAAAGATTACACAATTATTCATTAATCCTAATTAACCCCTAATCATATTTAATTAAGCTTAATAAAAAATAAGGCCATTTAGTTAACATTTACAAACTATATAGCCTTTTAATAAAATTTTAACTCCAAATGTCTTTTTAATAAACTGTCCCTTTGAATTAGAAATAAATGGATCTGAATTGGGTTGACCTAATACCCATGGGCTGGGTATTTGAAAGAAAATTATCGGTTTTTGCACTCCCCTACAGTTTGAAAATGATCATTTACGTACCTTAAGATTTTACTTAATTATCACAGATCAGTTACCAAATCAATTGATTTATTACACGTTACACATCCACCTAAAATAACTTTTGTTATCCAAACATTCATCTCCTAAATTAAAACCACATCTCTTACTCTATTTTTGAACTTTAAATAGAGTTGATATAAAGTATAATTGAATATTAGAAATTGTAAAATTCTTATTATTATCCATAATATGAGAATTTGTATGTATTGTGGTGAGAGTTGTTGATAGATGAAACCTTAGTTATATTATGCTTGGATGCATAATCTCGAAACTTTCATGTTATGTCACTTACTTTTAGCCAATTTTTTTTTTTCTTTTTTTGTAATCCAGGTGTTCGAGTCAACTTACGATAAGTTATATGTTTTTTAAGAAAATAAATATTTAATTCTTATAAATAAAAATTTCGGGTAAAAAAATAAAGAGATTAAAACCATAATTATATAAATCTTTTGATAGTTAATAAGGAGTAGAATTATATTGCAACGTTTTTTTTAGTAACCAGATCCAGAAGAATTTACTCGCACCTTAATTAATGCAAGACCCATCAAAGGAACAAAAATATGTGGTAATATTTTTAAAAGAAAAAGTTACCAAAAAACAATAATAATAATTAAAGGGAGGAAATAATCGTCCTAAAATAAAAAATAAACTTGTTATTTAAAGACACTTGTTGTCCTCGATATATTTAGAAATTTACAAAACTGCCTTCCACATAAAAATCCGCTTTTCCCACGCACCTATACCTAATTCCCTTTGCCGCCGCTCCAGTGTCCTCTCTAGTTCCTGTCCTTCTTTCCTTCCGTTACCCTTCTCTTTTCTTCTCAACATTAACAAAATCAAACCAAATTTTCACTTCTAAGATTTATCTTTCTTAGGCAAGCTTCTTTTATTTCTCTCCCTTTTTCTTTTTTCTTTTTATTTTATGATGGCTTTGTTTGTGCTTGTTTCTTCTGTGAGATTAATAAATGTTGCATAGGAGGTGAGTGTTTCTGTTTTGTCGATTTTCTTGTTTTTTTAAGATAAGTCTTTGCTTATTTTTAGACGGTATTCAGAAATTTCTCTAAATTTTCTTTTTACTAAACTTATTGATGTTGTAAGCTATTTGGTTATGTTATATGTGTAAAGAAATTTACAAAAAACAAATTAAACCTCGTAAAAAAGGAAAGAAAGAAAGAAAATTTGCCTCTACTTTTTTTTTTTTTTCTGGCCACTGTAATTTTGTGGGAGCTAGGACATGTATCGATCCACCGCGGCGATTATTTCCCGCAAAATCCCCGTAGTCCGGGAAGGGGATTCCCCGTCATAGTTTTATATTTTTGTTAATGGCTAATGGTTTATTAATTTGATGAAGGTGGCTGATCGGCTAGCAAAGGAGTTTAAAGTCGCTGTTGTATATTCTTCTGACTTGAAGCGAGCTCTTGAGACTGCACAGACTATTGCAAAAGCTTGTGGCGAGCTGGAGGTATGAACTTTGATATCAGAAGCATTGTGTGGAAGTTGCTGCATTGAACTTCATTTAGTTGTTTAGATGAATATTCTATTTAACTTGGTGACTTCTACGCTATTAGGCTGATCACGTTATTTTCTTTTGCCTGGTGAACTTGCATGCATGTTATTTTTTGCTTTATAGAAAACAAGGTTAGTGCTTGTATTAGTTATCAAAGGTTGAGATTGGCTGGTGATGATTATGTTCGGTATTGGACCACTTAGTTTTTGTGGTGTTTTTAGTGTATTTTTTTTATTGTTAGTATTGTTGGATTTTATAATAAACTGTGAAATCATTTTAGAATATAAGGTGGTATTGTTATTGGAATCTATGGGAAAAAAAAAAAAACTTTTAAACTGTCTTGTGTGTGTGTTTTGTGCAGATTTTTAAAATGTGTTGTGTGGGTGTTTTGTGCAGATTGTTAAAGTGTGTTGTGTGGGTGTTTTGTGCAGATTTTTAAAGTGTGTTGTGTGGGTGTTTTGTGCATAGAATCATTGTATGCTATTAAGAAAACACAGTATCTAGTGGTACATAAGCTGGAAACGTAAAATCGAGTTGATTCAGTGAATTGCAAAATCGAATTCTCTCCATAGCAGACAGAGGAGGACCAGAACTCAAAGCCCTATTAACCGAATAGCAAAGTTGAACTGAAAATGGGAAGTCACGGTAGGAACAGGAGAGAAACGGTGTCATCCTCAAAACAAAGAAACCGAAGTCGAAGAAGGAGATCTGACGACTCAAAACAAAGGTCTTTGTGGAAGATTACTGAGGAAGACATTTCTGAGTATTTGGCTAAAAAAGCTCAGAGGAAGGTAAATTATTTATTTTGTTTATCCGTTTAACTTTAATTTCTTAAATTAATTTATTGATTATGTAATTTGATTCTTAAGGCAGCAAGAGTTGCTAAGAAGTTGAAGGTGCAGAATGTTTCTGGTTATTCAAATGATTCAAATCCGTTTGGTGATTCCAATCTAAATGAGAAGTAACTTCTTTTAAAAAAAAAAAAAAAAATTATTTATTTCTTTTTTGTACAATAATGAAGTCAATTTAGGTTATATTTAATGATTGAAGTAAATTTCGAAATTTGAAGTTTGGGGTAATATGGAAGGTCATTAAAGTAGTAAAAATTATAGATTGCAAATTAGAGGCAGGATTCTTTTTTTGAATGTGATTGAGTTGTAATGTGTGGGCTGCAGATTTCTGTGGCGAAAGAAGATTGAGCAGGATGTTTCCCAAGGTGTAGCTCTTGATGAGTTTTCAATTAAAGCAGAGAAAAAGAGACAGAGAGAAAGGCTGGTATGTGAATGTAAGTTAATGAGAAGTCACTGCATCTACTTACAAAGTTGAAGCAGTTTGTTGTCTCTGTATCTTGTTGAGTTCTTTGTCGTCTTAATTTTGGCTTTTCATGGAGTTTTCTTTGGAGTTTCAGATTTCAATATATCTATTACATGCATAATGCAGGCGGAGATTGAAAAGGTTAAAAAGAGAAGAGAGGAAAGAGCTATTGAAAAAGCACAGCATGAAGAAGAAATGGTAAGCTTAGTCCCTTGATAGAGCAAAACGTTTTCTGGAATATGATGGCTAAGATACAACATTGTGCTTTATTATTGTTGAAGTTATCATATAATTTTTTTGGAAAAGTTTTCTTACTGCTATTTGATTAAATATTTCTGCAGGCACTGTTAGCTAAGGAACGTGCTCACACTGAATTTCAGGACTGGGAGAAGAAAGAGGAAGAGGTATGGTGCTGAGGTGCTTCCACTATTCTATTTTTTAATGTATACTGAGACTTTCTATTTGCAATCTGAAGAGTTAACTATATATTCAATCTACAGTTTCATTTTGATCAAAGCAAAGTTAGATCTGAGATTAGATTGTGTGAATGTCGTATGAAGCCTATTGATATTCTCTGCAACCACCTCAGTGGCTCAGATGACTCGGACCTGGAATTAAATGAACCTTACATGGTTTTCAATGTAATTATGTGGTGTAATCTCGTTGTTTGATGTAATAGCATTTTCAGACATGCAGTAAATATTTATCTTAGGCTGTTCACATTGGTGTTTGATGTGTATTGTTTGATACAGGGCTTGACAGTTAAGGAGATGGAAGAGCTTCATGAGGACATCCAGATGTATCTGGATTTGGATAGGTCAACGCCTATGCATATAGAGTATTGGGAGGTATTACCACTTTCATTTTTAAAGACTCTGTGAGTAGCTATTTAGTCCCACCTGAGAGGTAGAATTTTTGGCTGTACATGCAGAAAACTGTTTTTGTTCAGACATTTCTCTTGCAAACTTTTCCATCTTGCATGCCCTTTGTAATTTGCAATTCCATATAAAATTAGCCCCGCTATAAGAAAATAACTATGTAGGATTTATGTTGCTGAATCGTGATCTTTTGGGGAGATTATGAAGTGGTTTGTCAAATTGAGAGTATTTCTTCCCATATCTCAAACTTTCATGTTAGGACTTTGTCTTTCTCTCTTTTTAGATATATGCTTGCGTTTTCAAATTTATGTATCTTCTTGGTTTGGAAGCTTCTTGTTTCCTACAAACTGTAGTTTTTGGTTGAAATGATTACTCAAGACCAGTTCAAACGGTAATTGTCAGAAGGTTATAGACTGAAACTTGATATATATCAGGTTGTGAGATCGCTGGAATTAACGAATGTTTCTTGTTATATTTAGTTTTGAATGTCAAGTAGAAAGTATCTTGACTCTATGTATTCAACAGGCACTTATAGTGGTTTGTGATTGGGAACTAGCTGAAGCACAGAAGAAAGATGCACTGGATCGAGCCAGAGTGCGTGGGGAGGAACCTCCTGCTGAGTTGCTTGCAGAAGAAAGGGGGTTGCATTCAAGTATTGAACTAGATGTCAGGAACCTTTTGCAAGGGAAGACTCACAGTGAGCTTGAGGCATTACAAACTCATTAAATCACAAATGCGTACTTGCACCGCAAAGGTGGTTGAGTATTGGGAAGCCATTCTTAAACGACTCCATATATACAAGGCAAAGGTACTTATCTCTCCTTAAATGTCTTTACTTTAATTGTTTACAACTTGTTTTGGACCTCACTCGTAAGTTGGTACAATTGCAGGCTTTTTGAAAGAAATACATGCTAAAATGCTGCGAAAGCATCTGCAACGAGTCGAGCAACCTTTGGACGGTGGAGATAAATTTGAGACCAATCATGATTTGAGGTCTGAAGAAGAGGACATTCAGCTTCAGAATGATGATAATAGTATGTCTTTTTTCTCTTTTTCCCTTTTTGTTGAAATACTGGATGTTTTATTAAGATTATTGCATTGATAACAATTGGCTAATAAGTCTATGATATATAGATGCAGGAAATTTCTCTCCAGAACTTATATCAAGGGAAGAGGCTCAAGAAGCAGAAGAAGAGCCTGGATCATTTTCACCTGAACTATTGCATGGTGATGAAAATGAAGAAGCTATTGACCCTGATGAGGCCAGTGCTATGTTGGAAGAGCAGCGAAGGCAGATTCAAGAAGCTATGCCATCAAAACCAACTCCTTCATAAGGTAACTTTTGAGCTGAAAGCCATGAAAGCTATGGGAGCCATGGAAGAAGGGGATGCCGTATTTGGCTCTGGTGCAGAAGTGAACCTGGACTCTTAATTAACTGCATGTGTAAAATCAAAAGGGTTTTGGATGGTTTTGCCGTTTTGGGGGGGATTTTGAAGAAGGGTTTCAGGCCTGATGCTGTGACTTTTACTTGTTTAATTAAAGGTTTGTGTGTAGAGAAAAAGATTGTGGAGTCGATGGAGTTGTTTAAGAAATGGTTGTTGTTGGTTGTAGGCCTAATGTGATTACTTATACCACTCTAATCCATGGTTTGTGTTGTGTGAGTAATTGATAAGAGGATAAAAGTTTATTTAATCAGATAGTGGATCAAGGTGTGCGGCCTTCTGTGGTGACTTTTTGTGTGGTCATCCATGAATATTGCAAAAAAGGGAAATTGTACAAAGCAACTAGGTTTTTCGAACAAATGATTGGAAGAGGTATGGATCCCGACTCTTATATATGCAGCATTCTAATGAATGAGTATTACTTAAAAAATAGAATTGATGATGCAAGGAAGGTTTTTGATTTTGTAAGTAGAATGGGGTATAGACTTAATGTTGTAATGGGTATTGTAAGAATAAAGAAGTCGACAAAGTTCTTTATCTTTATTGAGAGATGATTCTTGAAGGAATTAGACCTGATGGGTATGAAACTGGATAGCGAGAAAAGGCAAAAGAGTTGTCAAATATGAAGAAAAAACGTTGTGCTTCGAAAAACCATTAAATTTTCTCTTCATGGTAACTTAGTGCTGAACGATTTAACATATACCATTTTGATCAAGGGGCTTTATGAAACTGGACAGCGAGAAAAGGCAAAAGAGTTGTCGATAAAGATAAAAAGCTTTGTCGATTTCTTTATTCTTACAATACTCATTAATTGAAGTATTGTAGCATACAACATTAAGTCTATACCCTCTTCTACTTACAAAATCAAAAACCTTCCTTGCATCATCAATTCTATTTTTTAAGCAATAACTGTTCATTAGAATGCTATAAGTATAAGAGTCAAGATCTACATCTCTTCCAATCATTTGTTCAAAAAACCCAGTTGCTTCGTACAATTTCTCTTTCTTGCAATATTCATGTATGACCACACTAAAAGTCACCACAGATGGCCGTACACCTTGATCCACCATCTGATTAAATAAACTTTTACCCTCTTCCCAATTACCCACACAACACAAACTATGGATTAGAGTGGTATCCAGACCTGGTTGACAAGACAAAGGCTCCTACATACACTATTGAGAAGGATGGAAGCAATGGTGAAACATGCATCATAAGGTTCCATGCTGAGCCTCCCTACGAGGACATTGTAAGTTCACTTGATCTAGGTTTTTTTATTTATTTCTTATTTAGTTTGTTTAGGATTAATTTACTCAAACCACTTATCTTGATATTACAGGCATTTAAAATTGTAAACAAAGAATGGGAGTATTCTCAAAAGAAAGGATTTAAGTGCACATTTGAACGTGGGATACTGCACGTATATTTCAACTTCAAACGCTACAGCTACCGTAGGTGATGTTTGGCTAATTTTGCAACTTGTTGCCTGAACCGATGTTTCTTGGGGTGAGAATGATTGTAGGCGATCACCAAGTGTAACAGATTTTGTTGTCAGAGATAATATTCTGTGAATATTATTCAAATGAAATTGTATGATTTTGTTTTCCAAATTGTTCAAAGGTGTTTTTTTTTTTTTTTTTCTTTCCTGCTTGTTCATAGGTAATTCCACAAAATAAAAACATTAGATCATGTGGAGTTTTTAATGGTCAAGCTGACAATCCTCGTTTATATTCTTTTTTATGTTGTGTGTACTGTCAACTGTGTAGATGTTATTAGCAAGTAGTTATTCATCGATAAGTTAAACGATTTGGGAATTCTTGTAAAAACACCCATCTTCTGTAATTATGAGCTTCTGTGAAGCTAATCTTGACCCGGAAGATATCTAGTTTTTGGTTTCTAAATACCGCAATTGAATTGCAATATTCCATAACTAACAAATTACAAAGTTTTATTGCTTTTTCTTCTCATTTCAATTGTCTGGTTTGTATATTAATTATCGGTCGCCTGATTTTCGTCTTGACTATTTGGTAGAATTATTTAGTATTAAGGGCAGGCCACTGAAGTCTGAAACCATGCACTGCCACTTGAGCATATGTCATTTTGGTCACTTTTTCCAATCTTTCTAGGCCCCAGTAGATATCTTCCGTATCAAAACCTGCTCTAAAGAAATAAACATGATAAGAAAATCAGTAACCAGTCAACGGTACAAAGCGCATGCGAGATTTTTTTTTTTGAATTTTTTCAGTACTTTCGTTCCTTTTCCTTCAAATTTTACTTACATCTCATTAAATTCCCCTTTAAACCTCTCTGAACTTAAATCTGATTGAGGACATATGCTCTTCATGGCAACTTACACGGCTATCAACCGACTTAAAACATCTTCAGACAGACCCGCAGTCAGGATCTTTTGATTGGGAAGCCCATAATTTCTGACACAAAGGATCTCTCAGAGAGAAGGCAACTGTAGAGCATACTCTTCTGGATTCCTTAGGAGAACAACATGTACTCTTTATGGATAGCTAAAAATCGGAGATAGAGAAAGAGAGGTTTTAAGCTTCCATACAAAACTCACACACAATTTTCATTTCTTGGAAACTTCATGCCTTGCAGGTTACAAGGATGGAAATGAAGCCTTCATATAGAGGGAGACTTTCAAAACGAACAAACAATAACATGCAGCCTATATGCAATGTTTTTTGGTTATTCTTGCAAATGAGTTGTTTGTCTTCAGACTTCTTAAAGTTCTGTATAAATTTCACTTTTCATTTTTAACAGCTGGCTAATTTTGGTCCTCCTATAGAACTATATTTCGTGAACTATTTGGTGACAGAAGTTTCCGATATGGCATTTCTTTCATTAAACTAACCAGCCTATATGCAATGTTTATTGGTTTTTCTTGCAAATGAGTTGCATCCTATCAATTGCTCTCAGTTAAGTTCCTTCTTAGTGCAAAGAAGTTGTTGGCTCTTCTTTATTTTCTCATGCTTTATGATGTTTCCTTAGTTTAGGAAGTTTAAAAGAGTCCTTGAGGATAAAATATTGTCTGGAATATGTTTAGCTCTAAAAAGGGCTGTCATGTTTTTTGACAAAATTTTAAAGTTGTTATAATTTAGTGGTGCTATTTAGTAGTAACTCAGGAGAGGTAAAATAAATGAAGTAAATAACAAGGGACCAAAATGAGAGAATTGAGAGATGTGAGTATTGATACACTAAAGCCCCTCAAATATTTGGATTTCTTTCAAATGAAAAGGAGGGGGGGTAATTTTTATAGCCAATACACACACCCCACCCCCACCCCCCGTTCCACTTTTCACCGCCTCAAGTAAAGGTGGTGGACGGCCACCAATGTTTTGACATCAATCTCTCGATTTTGCTGGAGTTCGTGAGTGGAAAAGAACTTCGGTGAAATATGCTTGGTTCTGTCTCCTTTGATATATCCTCCCCTGACTTGAGCAATACATGTTGCATTGTCTTCATTTATAATTGTGGGAGCATCTGAGATACGTGGCAATCTGCATATACTTTCAATATGATGCATGACAGATCTCAACCATACGCATTCTCGGCTGGCTTCATAAAGCGCAAGAATCTCGAAGTGGTTGGAGGAAGTAGCAACCAATGTCTGTTTTGTAGAGCACCATGATATTGCAGTACCATTATGAGTGAAAACATATCCCGTCTACAAGCAGGCTTTGTGAGGATCAGAAAGGTATCCAACATCTATATAGCTAACTAATTTAAGATCATTAACAGATTTCCTTAAATAAAATAATCCCAAATCTTTTGTTCCATTAAGGTAACGAAAGACATGTTTGATCCTATTCCAATGTCAGTGAGTTGGTGTAGAGCTAAATCTTACCAATAGATTCACTGCAAATGTTATGTTTGGTCTCATACATTGTGCCAAATATAATAATTCACCTATTGCATTTAGATACAACACTTCATGACCAATTATATATCTTTTCGTTATCTTCTTTAGGACGAAATTGATCCTTTTTAGGATCAAGAGACCGAACTACCATTGGGGTACTTAAGGGGTGAGATTTATCCATATAAAATCGCTTAAGGATCTTTTCAGTATAATTTGATTGATAGAGCAAAACTCCATTTGAACAATGCTCGATCTGCAAGCCGAGACAATACTTTGTTTTCCCCAAATCCTTCATTTCAATTTCTCTTTTTAAGTACTCGGCAGCTTTTGTGAGCTCTTCATGAGTCCCTATTAAATTCATGTCATCAACATATATTGTCACAACTGCAAATCTTGATTCAGACCTTTTTATAAAGACACACGGGCATATAGGATCATTGATATATCCTTCCTTTATCAAATTTTCACTAAGACAATTATACCACATTCATCCTGATTGTTTCAACCCATATAACGGTCTTTGCAATTTTATTGTGTAGAATAATTTATTATTTTTTTTTTTTTTGGGTCAAACTTATGAGTTATATGTGTGCACAACAGTTATGAGTTCACATTGGCTGCCAATCCTTTTATTTGGCTTGTTTTATCTGTTGTGTGTGTGCACATCAGTTCTTAATGCATACTGTTTGCCAGACTTGTGTATTGGCTTGTTTCGTTTCAAGAATGTGTGCACAACGGTCTGTGCTTACACTCTCACTTCAGATATTTTGCAACCTAACATGAGTTGCATATCTGATAAAGTGAAAAAGATATTGTTTATCTTTGTCTCTTGATATTTAAGACCTTTTACATGTGTCATAATATCCTTAAGTGATCCTAGGGAATAAAGTTATATTTCCCGATTTGTTATATGGTCCAAACCAAAAAGAATGAATACTTTCCTTATTTGGACAAACATTGGTCAACCCCTTGTTGGCTGATGTGGCACTATATTGTTGAGCAATAAATCTTTCATTAG